GCGCGGGGTCGGGCGGGGTTGGGGGGATGAGGGAGGGTGCCTGCCCGCGGGCAAAGGGGCGCGTTGCACTCAGCACGCTTTTGCAGGGAGGGGGGCTGTCCACGCTTGTGTTGGCGGGCTGGCCATGTACAGGCAATCTCTGGTATTGCTGGGCTGTGAGCTTGCCGCCTGCAAGCTGCGAGCCTCTTTCTTCTTCCTCAGATCAAAGTCATTTGGTGCCCAACCAGGCAACCAGAAAGCGCGTGGTCTGAAACAGGCTGCTCTGTTTCAGTCACCAGCATCGCCATGGTCTCATCCCCTCAAGGTACATTTGGGAGACAAAACTGCTCATATCATGGCAACATCCCCTGCTCGCGCGTGCAAGTGCTAGGGCCGCCGCTGCAGCGGTTTCAAACCTGCAAAACCTCCATCCGGCACTCACCAGCAGCATGACCCCCATGAGCAGCTCCGTCCCCCCCATCTGCTGCACCAGAAGGAACGTGAACGACTGCTGGGTGCCCAGCCCGTAGCCGATCATCAGCGCGCGCATGAGGAACGTCATGACCCGCGGCTGCCTCAGCAGCGACCAGACGCCCGGCGCCTCGCCCTTGCCGCTGGCGGCGGCAGCGTCTGCAGCTGCGGCTGCACAGTCAGAGCCGCTGCAGCGAACGCCGTCCTCCTTACCACAATCCAGCTTGCAAGGCCGTGCGCGCGGCCCGCCACAGACTGACGAAGTTGCGCTGTCGCAGCACCGCAAGCTGCTGGGCAGCACAGCAGCCGCCGAATCCCTGGCTGCGACGCCGCTGCTGCCGCTGCCAGTGGTTGGAACGGGGGCCTCAAATTCGGCGTCGGGCGCGCCGTCGCGCCCACACCATCGCCACGGGTTGTCGTCCGCGCTCGCAGCTGTCGCTGCCGCTGTCCCGGCTTCTGCGTCCGCTGTCGCCCCCGTGCACCCTGGAGAGGGGCGCGGCATCTGCCTTGCGCTGTCCTCCCTCAATCCCGCCGCTGGTGTCTGGCCACCCCCTCTGCTTTCAAAGCCCTGCGGCAGCGCCGGCGAGCAGTGCAGCAGCGACGGCGGCGCGCGCTCGGAGGCTGCCTCGAATTCCAAGCAGCCATCAAGGAGCCCGGCGGTGGAGCGCGGCGTGCTGCAGCAGCTGCTGTCGCTGGCTGCGCCTGCGTCAGCCCCGAGGGGCGCCCTGTACGCTCGGATAGCAAACGGCCGCGTGTCCTGCACCCGCTCCTCTTCAGCCGCGTCGGACGCTCCGAAGCCACCTGCAGCCCCGCTGACCGCCGCCGCCGCGCGCGGCGCTGCGCCGCCGGTAATGCTGTGGTCGCCGACGGCCTGCGCGGCCGCGTGGACGGAGGCCGCCAGCAGCTGCGCCCGCAGGTCGGCGCCTGTGAAGCTTGCGGTGGGGTGGCGGGCGTGCCGCGGCGCGGGTGAATACTGCTGCGGCCGTTGCTCGGCCGCCCCTTGATCCGTCACGAGCGCCGCCGGCGCCGCAACTCCACCGCTGCTGGGCACGGCGGGCGCAGGGTCCGCACTGCTGTCTGTCTCTGCGGCCGCTGCTTTCTCTGTGATGGCTGAAATAAGGTAATTCTGCGGTTTTCACGAATCAAGTTGTGTGTGTTTATGAGTTTGCGAGGCGTGCAGCATGACTGTTTCAAGCCTTGTTGGTGCGCCTGTAGCACGATCCGTCGCTCGGAGATGCTGCAGCTGCTCGTGCTAGCGCGCAGCCATGCACACGGGTGCAGTAGACGCCGCGCTTTGCAACACGCCTCCGCCGCGCCCAAAAGTAGGGGCTCAAAGCGTACCGCACGACCCTCTTATTTTGCATGTCGTTGGCGGGTTCAGCTGCGCAGCGCACACCTTCGCAGCGGCGGCGTCTCCAGTCTCCTCCTTGGCCCCTGCCTTTGCGGCCAGCTTATCCGCCGCGGCGCCACCCGCGTCCTCCTTTGCGCTGCCGCCCTCATTGCTCTGGCTTTCCGTGGGCTTGCTCGGCGCAGTCACCAGCCACGCGGCCGCCACGTTCGGGACGCACATGCAGACGTACACGAGCATGCCCCACTTCACATTGGTGTGGCTGATCAGGGCCCCGGCCACGGTGGAGAGGGTCCCCCAACCGATCGACGCAAACACGCTGCGGGCGGCGGGGGGAACAGGCGGGGTTCAGCTAGCAAGAACAAAGGGCAGCGCTGTCCTTCACTCGCGGATCTCAAGCCACCAGGCTGTGGCAGGTGCACCACCCCCAACCAGCTGCAAGAAGCCCCAGTCCCACCCGGTGCATGAAGCTCGAACACCCCTCCGCTGCAACAGAGCAAGCCAACCCAATCGCTGCCACCCTGCGCACGGCGCCGTCTCTTTGCAGCGGGGCTGCGCCGCGAGCCATAACTCCAATCCCCTGACTGGACGCACCGCTGCTTGCCATAGTCCCCATCCCGCGAGCACTTGGCCACCACAGTGGAGTCCGCGATCACGGGGCAAGGCGCCGCGAGAGCATCCCCGAGCAGCACCAGCGCCGCCACGGCCCCGAAGCTCGAGGGCACGAGTGCTAGGGCGCCCCTGAGGGCGAAGGATGTGACGTAGCACGCGACCAGCATCTGCCTGTGGCACTTCAGCCGGTCGGCGAGCGAGCAGATGAGGAGGGAGCAGGGCGCGGATATCCAGGGGCGGAGGCCGTTGATGAGCCTGCGGCGCGTTGGGTTGGGAGCATGGGGGGCGGGAAGGGTGAATGGTGGGTTGTTGGAGCGTGCTGCATGGCGACTGTGCGCGCGTGGGGCAGCTGGTGAACTCTGTACGTCTTTGCAGGGCAGCCCCCGAGCTGCCAGCGTATCGCTCCTGACTGGTCGGCAACGGCCAAGTGCGTGCGTGCGTGCGTGCGTGCGTGCGTGCGTGCGTGCGTGCGTGCGTGCGTGCGTGCGTGCGTGCGTGCGTGCGTGCGTGCGTGCGTGCGTGCGTGCATGCGTGCGTGCGTGCGTGCGTGCGTGCGTGCGTGCGTGCGTGCGTGCGTGCGTGCGTGCAGGCGCTCACCCGACCCGCCAGGGCTCCCAATGGAGGTCCCGCTTCAGAAACAGGGGTATGTAGGGGATGAAGAACACCAGGCTGCCGCTGTACAAAAAATACCAGATCCTTTTCGAGATGGATTTGGGTGCACGGGTGCAGTACGGAGGCGTTAATCTGGTGGTCGCGGGCGCAGGCAGCCCGCTCCTAAGCGTTTTGCGCTTGCGCTGTGGCACAGCGGGCACAGCGGGCGCAGCGGGCACCATAACCACGGTTTCAGGGGCCTTGCAATTACTCACTTGGCAATTATCATCTCATGGCGGCTGGCGGCCGCCGGAGCTGCGGTGGGCGCCATTGCCCTTGCTGCGCGCTTGATGAGGGCCCTGGCGCACCTCGAAGCGCCCGGCGATCGGCCCTGGCTGCCCTGAATCCACACCGCTTGTCCTGAACAACACTTATTGGTGATTCTGCTCGCGATCAAAGGTCTCTCTGCTCCTCAACACCGCAGTTTCCCGGGGTCCACTGCTCGCACCGCAAACGGCCCTGAAGCCCTGAGAACAGCGGAACGCTGTGCGCTAGTACATGTTTAAAAATATAACTACAACACATACGCGCTGAACGTGGCACGCCTTGGAATACCGCGCTCAAGTCCAATCATCAAGAGCGATGGGACAGACCAGGAGATCAATTTTTCTGACGAATCAAATGTTCTTGATTTTCTGCTCTGACGGGAGTTTAACCCCTCGACGACGTGGCTGCAAATGGCAGGCAGGGGGCGCAGCTGGCAGCCTACTGCACTTCCGAGCAGCTGGATTGGAGGGTCCGCTCCCAAGCATGGAGAGTCGGGTGGTATCTCATTGTGACGTAGCTTTAGACCCAAGCTGCCGTAAGACGGTGTAATCTGTTGGCACATGGCTCATCGACACAGGAGTCCATGCAGTGTCAGGACACTTGTGCGCGAGTGCAATACCGTTGTCTTCATTTCATTGTCAGCCCACCGCACGCTCAACTGCAGGGCAGATTCTGAGTTGCTTCCCACAGGCGCAGCTCCTTTCTTGCTGGCTACTAGTCTTGAAAGGGCCTCACTTGGCATGAAGTGAGGCCGGCGTGTGATCACGGGGGCTGAGCGGCGCATGATTAGGACTACTTTGGGACACTTTTCAACCCACAAGGCCTCTGTGCCACATTTGTTCGAGGCACCTTGCTGCAGCGACGGGCAGGGAGGTCCTGTACAGGAAATCATGATAACAGGACCGAACACCCATGTTGGTGGCTGAGCTGCGGGTGTTGCATGCCGCCACCAGACCAAGTTGGTCGCTCAGGCTGGGGCATAGAGCATATTTATGAGCTGACATTGTATGAAAAATCAGATGAGCTTTTTGTCGTTGAAACACCTGTACGTTACCCGGTCTGACTTCACACCCCGCGGCAGGCACCACGCCAGTCCAGCAGAGCGTCGTTGACATTGAGTCAGACCCATGCTGATGTTAAGTCTGATAGCCCGCACTGCTAGGCGCATAGGCTACTGTCGGAAAAGGGAGGCGAGACCGCGCTGGTGACATCCCCCGCAGCTTTGAAGAGGTAAGCGGTGCCAACACGACGAATATAACGCGAAAATTCGAGTTTTCAGCGACTCCGCAGTCCGGTCGGCGGTCTCTGCGACCTAAACAAGCGTGTCGACGCGACAGCGCATACCGTACCGTACGCCATTGAAGCAAGCGCAAAGCAACACCGCGCCGCAAGCCAACCGGGCGGCCCTCTCGCTGCCCTGACGCAGTATCTGTGAACACTGCTGGCCGCTGCAGCGTCCCAGCAGAGCGTCTTACGCGGCAGCGCAGGAGCCATGCGTGAACTTTTGGGGTTCGCGTTTCTCTCCACAACTAGCGTCCTGTTCCTGCTGTGGCACGTGTTTTGGTACTGCCGCGCGGCGCGAGTGCGCGAGCTCGAACGCCGCCTGCAAGCCGCGCACGACGGCCAGCGCGGCGACGCCGAGGCGCTCGCATCGCTCGCCGGGCTGACGGCGCCAGTGGCGACAGCGGTAGCGCGCGGCGCACCGCTGTTTTTGATCCGGTCGCTGCCTACACACGTATACTGCGAGGAGGCCAGCACACGCCAGGTGCGCCCTATTCTGTTTGAAAGAAAGCTGGAAGATGTGATGTGAAGTGTGGGCCCCATGGGCCACTTGCGTCCTTCCCATGTATTGGTTGCACATGCACGTGACCGACAGCCAACCTTCGCAGCTCAACTGTCACATGCTACCGATGCGTTTGCATGTGCATGTCGACCTCCTTGCAGGCGGCCCACCGGCCCAGCGACAAAGCCAACGACTTGGAATTTGGCGTTGAAGACAGGGAAAAGGAGACCGAGTTGTGTTCATTGAAGCAGTTGCAAGGAGGGCCAGGGCCACAGCAGCAGCAGCAGCAGCAGCAGCAGCAGCAGCAGCAGCAGCAGCAGCAGCAGCAGCAGCAGCAGCAGCAGCAGCAGCAGCAAGAGCAGCAGCCGCGGCAGCAGCAGCCCAGGTGGGAACGGGAACTGCGGCTGCAGCAGCAGCCCAGCTGGCAGGTGCATGAGCAACAGCTTCAAGCCTGGCAGACGCGGGAAGTCTTTGCGGAGCACACATCAGCGGGCCTCAGTGCACGCGACGGCACGCACAGGGCATCCCGAGCGAGTATCAAGCGCTGCTGCGCGGGGGACGCAATTGAGCCGGCGGGCCACAGCCGTGCCAGCAGCGAGGGCTCCGAGGGGGCTGCAGAGTGCCCGATTTGCCTGTGTGGCTATGCCGAGGGGGACGTTTTGAAGCATCTTCCATGCAGCCACTCCTACCACGCCAGCTGCATAGACATATGGCTGCGCAGGTCAGCAACATGCCCTCTTTGCAAGCTCAACCTCTATTTGTACTTTCCGTGAGCGTCATCTCTGCACTTGTCTGATGTCCTGACGGGGCCGTGCCGGCACACAGATTGTGTTATGCACTTTTGTCATTCATTGCTGGGCGCTGGCGGGCACCTTGCAAATTGGGGCAGGGGACCACCGCAACTGTCAAGAGTGCAGCAACGTCTTGCAATGCAGAGTCAGCCATGCACCTGAACCCACAGACTGCGAACAGTGCGGGGATTGTTCACATTTCAGGCACGTCAGGGCCATCGGGCTTTTGATGGACTTCAGCGCCCCACCTATGTTTGCTAGCAAGCAGGCACTCATAGGCACAAGCATGTGATCATCCTGGCTCGTTCGAGTGAGGCCACCACTCAGCTGTGATGACTCCCCCGCGGGTTGTTGTGCTGTTGAGCATTGAAAATTTCTTAGCTGGTTATGGGGCACTGCAGTTCACCAACTCGACGGCCACAACTTGAGACCAGGGCGCTCCATGTTGTTTTGAGGTAGAGTACCGCAGCTCACACACAGCTCAACAACATGTTTGCCCCGCCGGCAAATGCACAGGTCCCTGCAAGCTATCTGCAATAAAAGCGTTGGTGCTCAAAGAATCCCCAAGCGCTATGTTGGCCTTGCAAGCAGTTGAAAAGGCCCCGCATACCTGCGCACGGGTGGCCGCCTAGGTGCTCATCCTTTTGTTTGAGTCTGAGCATTGACCTCGCAACCATTCATGTGCTGCCAGCTCATGAGTGTCACAGCAGCTGGGACACTCAGCCCAGCTGAAACTTTGATGCAGGAGTACGGTGATAGTGCACCTCTACATCCCCTCGCGCAGGGGGCGCGCCACCGGAACGCAGCATCCACAGCATTGGCAGTGTTGGTGACTGCGCAGGGCGGTCTGTTGGTTGGTCGGGACGGCTGGATTTCATTCCACCAATGAGCTTTCCAAATTTCGCGCGCTATATTCCGACATATTGCTTGGGGCATCTCAACTGCAGCAAACATCGCGGCAAACTGCGGCATCGCGATCACGCAGCGACACACCCCGTGGCATCAGTGCCCAAGGGTTCCAGCGTGTGCGTTGGGCAGGTGCATAGATAAACCATTGTATCACATAGGCGTGTGCGGCGCGTCGCACAGTTGCGAGAGCTGGATCGCACGCCACCCACACGGGTAAGCACCACTCCCAAGCTTTGACACGCAACAAGCATTGCATCCCACGCGCTTTGTTTCGGGGTCGGACAACACCACTGCGTGCGGGCGGCTTGAGCACGCACGCTGATTTGACGCCCTCCTGATGACGCATTGTCGGAACCGCATACGCAGCACGCCCGCGCGGCGCTCCGCGCACGCCCCCGGGAGAGGGCCATGAAAGGGGGGTCCGCAATCAGCATCATAGTCTTCATCGGCGCGGCGCTGATATGTCTGGAAACGGCGACGGCGGCGGCCAGCGCCAGCGGCGGCGGTGACCCGGCGCAGCAGCGCCAGCTGGATGGCGCTGCGGCGGGCACGCCGCGCCGCATGCTGCTGCAGGAGAGCCAGCAGATCCCCCCGCCGGACCCGTCCCAGCAGGCCACTTCCCCTTATGGACCCGACGGCTTCAGGAGGACGCTGCGCCTGCCGCCCCACGTGAGTACAGAGGTCGCGCCAGCGCAACACCTGCGCGTGCTGCGGGTTGTTGCCCTAACAAGGAAGCAATGCCCTCAGCCGGCCGTTGGCTGGAGGCTCCCGCGCTCCGTGGCCGCCAAAGCTCTTTTACAGGCGCCCCCTCCGCCTCACCGGTGCCCCTTTGCTCGCGCGCCCCCCAGCCGCCCAATTCCCGCCTCACACCCCTCCTGTCCGCACCCGCCCCTTTTTGGGTCCCACACCCGTCACAGTGTTGACGCACTCCTCTCCCCTCAATATCTACCGATACTCTCCAATCTACAGGTTTACCTAATTTCCTTCATCCTGCTCCTGACGATCATGGCCATTCTCCTGAGCTGCCACTGCTGGCGCATGTGCCGCCTTGCGCAGCGCATGGAGGCCACACTGGCCGCCCAGCACGCGGCCAGCAACATCGGCACGGCCACTGGCGGCCACGCGAACAAGCGGTCGACACCCGATGACGTCATTACCGCGCTGCCTGTGCTCAAGTACGGCGCGGTCGTCCGCAGCGGCAAGTCGGGGTGGGCGCCCACGCGCCCCGCAGCCGCGGCGGGCGCGCCGGCGGGCGGCGCGTGCGGGGGGCAGCCCGGCGGCGAGGGCGGGAGCGGGGCCGCGGGCGGTGGCAGTGGCGTCGCAGGGGTGCAGCGGGGCAGCGTGGAGCTGACAGCCACCGCTGCAGCGCCCGCGGCACCTACTGCGTCAGCCCCGGCTGACCCGCAGCCGCAGCACACCTGCATCGACTGTGCCCGCCTCGCGCCGGCGGCGTCGACGGCGCCCGCGGCGCCCCTGGCGCGGGCCCTCTCGCGCACGCGGAGCGGCGGCGGCGGCGCGGCG